ATATTGATAGAAATATATTCATCACCTTAACATCAGTCCCTCCAGTGGGCATAAATTCCTCGTATATATAAGAACCCTCTCTCCTTACTCTTCTGACCTCAGGATGAAACTCACTTGATCGATTCCCAACCTAAATTAAAATGTTTGGTTTCAAGACATATAAATAGCCACACAAACAACTAAACCAGAGGAATATACCACAAGTAATTGTGATAATCTTAAATTAAACAGTTAAATATATGGGCACCTAAGTTCCATGTAAAAAATGCAGAGTACCTTACGAAACAATTCTTTCATGCCTCCACCTGCCGAGCTAGGGTAGTATATCATTATACTATGGTCATCTCCTTCACAATCATAAAGAATGTCAATTACAACAGCAGGCAAGACATTGAAAATCTGCAAATTGAAAGAAAAAGTTCTATCAAAGGGGTTGACCACCAACAAGCGACGGAAAACAAAAAGAAAAACTCCCTCAAAAGACTTTACAAACAGAAGCTCAGAAAAATCAGACAATTTGCAAGAAAATGTACGCTATTACGGTCAAATTGCGTTCAGGTTGAATCACAGTTTACATTTTTGCTAGGAAGAGATGTCAGCAAGCAGCCAACACATTTTAGATGCATTTATTCAAAACATTTTTGTGCGCAGACAAAAAATAGAATACAGCAAAACAGAATATGAAAGTGAACAATTTTCCCCAGAATCAGTTTCAAGTTTGAGTTTTACGTTTATGGATAATCGAGAAGCTACTGTAAAAAAAAGTAAAGATGATTAGAGCAAGAGCAAAAAGAAAAGCTCACCATCAACAGGCTTTTCCACAAATGGCTTCCAGAAACGTTTTCCATTAACTTCAACAAAATCTTCTTCCTCAACAAAATAATCAAGCTCTTGGCATGGTACTTCTCTATTGACACAAGCGTATCTAGGAACTGGGATGCCATACATCTCAAGATGCTGCAGACGTACACAAATAGAACCTTTTTTTTTTCTTAATAGAGGAGAAACGATGTAGCTCTTGCTTGTCATAAACAAAAAAGAATTTAGAATCAAAATAGACAAGGAAAAAAAGGAAAATCTGATCTATGGCTAAATCAGTTGAACAGGGCCATCTGAGGCTTCAAACATCAAAATAGGGGCAAACATTCATATGGGCATGGTCACCCTGTGCAAAAATCAATCAACCAATACAAAAGAAAAGAACTATTGATCAAAATTCTGAACAAAAAAGACGGAAAGCATGAAAATCAAGACAACTCATGTAAATTCTACTAACGCTCATGAAGAGCTATATTTTCATGCTTCGTGGTCTGATAAGCCAGCACATTATGAGAAAATACAATAAAGCAAGGGTTAAAAGCGCAACATAACGGATTCAAACTTTTTCATTCAGCAGAGAAAGGATAATGAGATCCAACTTCTCAATTTCCAAACAGCTTACACCCGATAGCACTACAGTATAGTGAATTCCCGCCGCCACAAAATCTAATGAGCATACCTCATATACTTTACGTCGGTCATGAAGGAGATGTTGTGGCTCCAGTTCATTCACTAAAAAAGGCCTGAATCATAGAAGTGTGAAAAGTCTACCTCAAAATCTACACCCGTATACTTTGCATCAAGAATGTAGAGGGGATAAACTGAATAACAGCAAGAAATAAAAGGAAAGACCTACTTTCTTAAAGCCGCATATGCTTTGGCCTTGTCTAGAGGATATCCAGAGGAATGGAAAGCAATCAAACAATCACAGACCGGCCAGCTGAAACAGCAAAGTCCCTGGTGAAGTTCTGGTTCCAGTACTGTCCTTATTTGTTAATCCTTAAAATACACGTTTATCCCAACAAATGGGTAAAGCAGAAGTGACAGATCCATGCAACACATGACATAAACAACACTAGAAGCATTATTCATCAGTTAGCACAGAGCCGTACCTTTCTATTGGATCTTCGAGTATAACCTTATCCCCAAAATATATGATCTAGGAACAAATTGGAAGCAAAGGGGGCCAATGAGATGTCACTATTAAAGAAGAGGAATAGACCAATGAAAAGTACCACTCAATGAATCCACAAAGGCAAACGACGCCTAAGAACTAAAAAGAAGAAAAGACACCAAAATGCCGCTTCTAACAAACTTTTGCTTCAATACTTCTAAATTATAAGCAGACTGCGAGAAAGAAAAAAACACTACAAAAAAACTCCCTCGCTTCACGTGAATAGCAAACAATCGAAAACAAGCCCGACTTTATAAAATCAAAGTCATGAAAACTACATGATCTTCAATCAAAAGATTCAAAACGGAAATCGAAAAGTGTGCCACCTCAAATTCACCAAACGCCTGCAGCCTGTCGAGAATTTGTCCCATAGGAGCCGAGAACACCTACAAGCAAGTCCAACAATCAAATCTATGAATGAGATCACATCGCGAAACCCACCGATCGAACCGCATTATCAGATTAGGGATTCAAACAATCGTCTTAATTTCATGTCAGCGCAAAACGCGAAATACGAGCACCAAGGGAAACAGAACCTCGGGGCCGCTTTTCACCTTCTTTTCCATGACGCAGACTCCAATCTTTATCTTCCCACCAACACCTCCTCCTTCCACCTCCATTCTCTCTCTTTCTCTCTCTATATCTATCTGAACCTGATTCTGATTGTGTTTCTGTCTCTCGCTCTACACAACAACGTTCTCTATCTACAATCACAGAATCAAAATCCAAAAAGTTTCATTCAAATATCAAAAAAGATGAAGCAGAAATAGAAAATTTTCGTCAGTTCAAGCAATCGCCGCAAACATGGCCGAAGAATAAACGAGGAAAGTCTCCCAGGGACGACGACAGTGCACGAATGAAACACGCCCGCGATGCGAGAACGAAGGAAGATCTCCCGGAGAAGAAGACGAAGATGACGACGACGAAGAAAGAGAGACGTACCGATGAAGCAATGACCACGAGTGCAGCGATGGCAGTAATGCTCGACAGAAAACCGAAATTTAGAAGAAAGAACAAAAAATATAAAAAGAAATTGTGAGCGGTGAGGTACCAGGGAGGAGGAGAGAGACACAGGCGTCACAGCCGTTGCGATGACATTTTCAAGGAAAATAAAAATAGATTAGCATCGCTTACTAGACAAATAATAACTGTATTAATATAATATCTCATATTATATTGTAAAAAAAAAACTGAAAACTTCTAGTAAACTTTTTGAATCCGTCGTCTACGTTTATTAATATAAAAAGAAAACTTTGATGTTATAAATAAAATTGAATTACAAGGCAAGGGCCGATTTTAAAAGAATTTCTGAATAAATCGAAAAAAATAAATAAAATATACCGAACTTATACGGAAACGTTAACTGCGAACAAAAAATTCAAAGTGAAATGGTATAATAATATGCACGAGGTAAAAAAGGTAAGTAAATACAAAATAAATAAATAAATAAATAAACGAAAAAGGTTTGGTGGAGAGATAAGATCTGGGATTCGGGAATATGCAAGTGTGTTTTAGCTTTTTGTTCCGTTCCCACCTTTTCATACTCGAAAAGGTTGGAAAAAAGTTCACTTTGGCACTTTAGCAAAATAGGAAATAATACCTTTTATATCAATTGATTGATGTATGATTCAAATACAAACAAAATATACAGTCGTGAAAAAATAGAGGTATAATACGTTAATAAAAGATAAAACACCAATAAATTATAAATAACATTTAGGGAAAAAAAGATAAAAGTTTAGTTGGGTTCGATTTTACTTGTGGAGAGATATATAATTTCTAAACCAAAATAGTTTATATACAAAGATTGGTTCCGAATTTAGAGTTGATGTAGTCGGGTCGAATGTCCGGAATCATTCTGATTATAAAAATAAAATAAAAGCGCAGTTTACAATGATGTTGCATGGCTTACAAGAGTTTGACTAAGTCAAACGATCAAAGGCCTTCATTTGATGTTTCTCCTACATTCTCTCATCTATGTTACCGGCTTCCTCTCTAACCTCATAATTAATATATATATATATATATATAGATATAGATATGACCATTCAAAATTGTTTGAAATATCCATTTTAAAATTATGTATATATATTATAAATTATTGTGATTAGTTTATTAAAAAAATTGTTATTAAGTTCAAAGTTAAAAATACTTTTTTGCTATTATATATAGAATAAAACTTGAACGTCTGTTTTAATACTATCATTAATAATCTTATCGTGGATATTATCGCAATTGTTTTTTTATAAAATATTATAGTTAGAACAAATTGAAAAGATACTAAATTATTTATGATATAATTTTTTTTAAAATGATATATTGTACCCGAAAGATGGTTGGTAGGGGTTTGTGATGCGTGTGGTGGTGAGACATTTTATCTGTCTCGACCGGTTATTGATGGACAAAGTTGTGCGTAAAATACGATGGCATTGTTTTCGGATCAACTTGGAATATGATTGGCATATTGTATATATACACTAGTATGAATCCAAGCATTTTATATTTTTGATAACATGCAGTCTAATAAGGAAAAACAGGTTAATATATACTTGAGAAAGATTTAATAATATCCTCATATGAGCAAAGGGCATTAAGGGGATATAAATATATTACAGATATATATCAAAATTATCCAAGTGATAATTGATTAAAATCAATTAAAAGAAGTAACAGACGCAAGAATAAGTTGGTTTTGATTTCTAAAAAAAAATAACAATCACAATTCAAGTAGGAAAAGGAAAACACTAGGTTTTTAAGTAATTAGTTAACTGACGTTGTCCTCGTACAAAAAAGAAAAATGCGAAAAACATGGTATAACAAAAAATCCCTACAAAATAGGATCTTCTAGTTCCGAAATTTTAAAAGAAAAAAAAAATCACCTGGTCATAAACAGAACCCAGAACAAGGAGATCTCCTGATCTATGAACACTTCCATTTCTATATATAGACATTGGCACCTCATCAACGGTCTCACTCCCTCAGTGAAGGCTGCAAAGGGTTACAAAATGCAAACGCCAATGTCCGTCACTACGGGACGTCAGACGAGGAGGGAGAACGTTAACAAAGATAACGCCGTTAACGTCATCGTCTTGTTGATACTATCGATTCTCGCCTCGGTGGTCATGACGCTGAAAGGATCGTCCTCCGGCGCCGGAAGCCAAGCGTGCGCCGTCTGCAAGTACCAACGCCGTCGCTGCAAAAAGGACTGCCTCCTCGCGCCATATTTTCCGGCGGATCAGCCCAAAGTCTTCCAAAACGCTCACCGTCTCTTTGGCGTCTCCAATATCCAGAAGATCCTCAAGGACGTCCCTCCCGATCAACGTGAAGAGGCCGTCAAATCCATCAAATACGAATCTTTTATCCGCTCTAGATTCCCCGTCCACGGCTGCTGCGAAGTCATCTGGCATCTCAGGTCTGTGTATTACTATCATTATTATTAGTGCTTACAACGATTCGGGGATGGGCTTGACTCGTTTTTTAGACGAGTCGAGCCGACTCGTTTAAAAAATGGGTTTATGAGCTAGTCTCGGTCACGTAAAGAAGCGGCTCACGATCAGTTTTTTATGGGCGAGCATTTCGGTTCCATAATTTGGTTCTGAACTGAATCAAACCGAAATTCACCCGAATCGAACCGAACCGAAATCACATTAATTTGGTAAACTTGTTTGTAGAACAGATAGACTGTTTCCGAACGGAACCATTAAATATCGAACCAAAACCGATAAATACCAAACATAAACCTTAATTATTCACAAATATACATGAATTTATGTGTGAATATCAAGTTTTGTTTCTTATTAGGTGCTCCTAACACAAGACCGGATCAAACCCAAAATTTTTTGAGATGATGATGGTCCAAACCGGGTCGAATCAGGTAGCAGCTCTAATTATTATTGACTAATCTATCTATGCATCATCATCAGGTATCAGCTCCACCATGCAACCGAGCAGCTCCGCCACATCCACGGCCGGATCGCATCTCTCAAGGCCGACCAATTCCGCGGCCAAACCTCTGAGAAACCGAACGATCCTATGCCATATCCGGACAATTACTTAGCCGACGACAATGCCTTCCCCTACATGCCGAATGAGTACAACGGCAATTTCGAACCGGCGCTAGACATGAAGCCGTTCGATATCAAAGCTCATGAACACCACCACGTCATGCAGTTACCTCACTACAACAATTTCTACGATCATAACCAGATCGAAAATAATAGTAACTATAACGGAAATAATGATTGTATTGTTGATGACAACAATAACAATACAATAATAAATAATCACCCCCTTAGTTTACAACAAAATACTTTTGTTCAACACGAAATCGATGACACTCACGATTACGATGAGATGTCATTTGATCCACTCGCAGATGATCGACATTTGGCTTCCAAAGAAACTTGCGAGTCAAGGTATATTTTTTAAACTTTTTTTTTTGTTTTTATTTTAGTTTTAAACGTCATGTTAAGATTTCATTGTATATATAAGAAGCTTTAAGGTATATATTTTAAAAAAATTTGTTTTTATTAGTTTTAAACGTCATATTAAGATTTTATTATATATATATAAGAAACTTGCGAGTCAAGGTATATTTTTAAAGTTTTTTTATCTTTGTTTTAACTTTAAACGTCATGTTAAGATTTTATAATATATATATATAAGAATTATTTACCGTGGGTTCTGAGATTTCGAGTTCGAAGATCTCTACATTAAAACGTAGGGATAAAATGGTCTAGTATATTCTCTTCTCTATCACTCCCACTAGATGGAGATATGAATCTGGTTGATCTTTCATATATATATATATATATATATATATATATATATATATATATATATATATATATATATAAGAAGCTTAAGTCAATGTATATATTTTATTTTTTTTGTTTTTATTTTAGTTTTAAAGTGTCTGTTAAGATTTTATTATATATATAAGAAATTTACGAATCAAGATAAATTTAAGTTTTTTGTTTTTATTTTAGCTTCAAAACGTCATGTTAAGATTTTATTATATATATAAGAAGCTTACGAGTTAAGGTATATAAATATTTCTTATTCGATTATTTTTTGTTTATTTTGTCGATTTTAGAAAAATTTATTATCATTAAATTATTATAATAGATTTATTCCAATTCACTTTTTATTAAAATATCAAAATGAACTCAACTCCTGGTTGATTCATTATCCATTCATTTTTTACCAAGAAGAACTAAGGTGTTGAATGGAAGATGGTTTTCAGAGTTTTTGGATTTCAAAAAGTGAAAAAACCGACAATCAAGTTTTTTAAATTTTAGTTTTCCTAAAAACCCGGAAATTTACTTTATGAAAAAAAAATCAACTAAAAACTAAAAACCACCTTTTTTTAGATTTATAAACTTTCAGAATCCAAAAGCCAAAAACCAAAAACTAAAAACCAAAAACCAAAAACTAAAAACTAAAACCAAAAACCCAAAATAAAAACTAATATCATTCAAAGCCTAATATTTTTTAAACTTTTTAACTCTAGCGAGTCAGTTTGACAAGTCCGAACTGACTCACGAGTTGAAATATTTTTTAATTATTTTTTATATTTTATAAAAATTAATTAATATTTATTTTAATTTTTATTGGCTATATATACACAAATTCTTCTACATACTTAAGTTTGATATTTAATATTTAAACTTATGTTTGTGGATATATATATACTTATATTTGTTTCGCGAGATAACTCGTTTAACTGGTTAAATAGGTGGTCGAGTTGAGTTATAGTTTTTTTTGCACATTCTAAAATGAGTCCTTGTTTTAATTCGAGTTGAACTAACTCGTTGACACACTACTTTTCGTCAATCAAATTTCTTTCAATTTTTTATTTTTTATTTTTATATTTGAATCGTATTTTATTTTTTTAAAAAAATCATATATCACGATTTATATCACTAAATATTTGATGATAAAAATTATTATTTATATTTTAAAATATGATATTTTAATACGAAAAAAGTTTTTAATAAGTTTTATGAGTGAAAAAATAATCGCCGTTAATAACGTAATTAATTTATTGTATTTATTTATAACATGAAATTAAAACAATAATTTATCATAATACATATTCTCATAGTTTATTTACTCTCACATTTTTCTCTTTTCTAATATATAATAGATACCTAACTATATTTTAAATTTTAATGTGACAGTGCCGAATCATCATGTTTCAACTTAACGACTATGGAGCAAACGGAAGACATAAGAACCTTTTTTTAACCTTTTTTTTTATTTGCAACACATTTATTTGTTTACAAATTTTTTTGAAAAAGATGCCAAAACCGTATCTTTACTATTTCTCACGAAGACCGATAGAATTAGGTATTTATTCACAATTTTTGTATGTAAATAATTATTTTGTTGCGGAAAAATTACTTTGTTTTCGGGAGGAATTCTTTGAAATAAACAAGAGTCCATGATTTTTGAATGTTTAATAATGTTATAAAAATGGATAATTACCTAGGTGACTATGGATTTGTGGAGCGCATTTAGGGTATAAAATAAAAAAGTTATATAGCATTTATTTTGTTAGGCTCGCAAGTGATCTACTACATAGAATTTATTTCGTTTATAGATTTTTGAAAAGAAACTCTTAAAAATTATCAAACATATGGAAACTAATTCCTGAATTTGTAAATGTGTCTATTTATTTCTAAATTTAAAAAATTGTATACTATAATTTTTAAACTTGTTTAAGAACATCATAATCATTTTTAACATAATTTTCACCAAAATAATGTGTTAAACAATCTTACGTGGCATAAAAATTGTCAAGACAGATCATATTTTAATATCATGTATACAGAATCGGGTTTAATAGACACAGTTTAACAAAACCGGTTCGCAATACTAAAATTTAAAGTAAGTAAATGTAACAATTTGGAGGGTAATTCTGGGTTCATCACTGATGTTTTCAGTCGCCGCGTATCTTCCTTAAACAACGTCGTTCTCATCGAAAAATCTGGGATAAAAGAGATTTAGCTCGATGACGGTTACTTCGACGCCAAATGCTCCTATTTCGGAAGAGACGTCGTCGATCTGGACATAGAGCTCGAGAATCGGTAGTGATGGTAATTATTTCGATCTGCATCGCTATTCCAGATCTTCCGGTGAATCAAAATTTTTATTATTACGAACTGGTTCTATGTCTATTAAACAAGTTTTGCATACATGGTATAAAAATCTGATGTGTCTTGACAATTCATGCGTCACATATGATTGTTCAACACATTATTTTGGTCAAAATTATTGTTAGCATTATTATGATATTTTTAAACAAGTTTAGAAATTATTGTGTCTAATTTTTAAAATTCAGGAATAAATAGAAACACCTATAAATTCAAGAATTAGTTTTCCACCGAATTATAAGTTTGAGAATTTCAGAGGTTTTTTCCTAGATTTTTTTAACACATTATCAAACAGAAATCAAAGCATAATTAATCTGTTTCACCAAAAAAAAACATAATTAATCTTAGTTTTTGCCACCATTACGTTATCAGTATTTAGTAATGGTAAAAAAATTGAATTTCAAAATTGGTTGTATAGTTTGATTAATTTTGCTCGTCCTATCGAGATCGGTTGGACAATAAGTATCCTAAACTACTCAAGATTGATATGGTATAAACCAATATAATTTTTTTACATAAAACATTTAAAAACTATATATTTTAATTTAAATCTTTAAATGTAAACCGATATTTAAATACCTTATAGTATAAATATCAAATAGATGTAGTAATAAATAATCGAGCGGATCAAACTGATGGTGTTTGAACCATGTATTAGCAAACAAATTCAGCATAATTAAAGTTATAATCTATAGTTTTAGATGAAAAGTCAAAGTGCACATAAATAATCCTCGAATTGGCTAACTACACAAGTCAAGCATTCATAAATACTAAGGAGACTAAAACGGAAAATGACAGACTGAAATATCATTTTAAGCACTTACTATACATGCATGAATTTGTTTGTATGTATAGGTCTCCAACCATATCTGCTCACCTACCCAAAAACAAATGAAAATGAAATATATATATATATATATATATATAGATAATCTGATAAACGAAATAAGTTATTGACAAAAATACGAAAATAAAAAGATGGAAATGTGATACTATAAAAACAAATGCTAGATTTGAAATTAAAATAAGAAAATTAAAATCTAGAAAGATAAATAAACACCGAAAATGAGAACAAAGAAAACGTATTGTTATATTTTGTCGTACGTTCTAAACTAAACCCGACTTCACTCCAACCACTGAACCCTTGCTTCATCCTCAATCGATCTGAAACTTCAAAGAATCCATTTTTCTTCAGCTCTGAAGCTCTTCGGATCCGAATCCGACCCGTTTCGATTCCTTGGCGGGTCCGAGTAGGATTCTCCAATTCGGGTTCGAAAATGAAGAGATTGAAGAGCTATTATATGCACGTTCGACACCAGCAAGCCGTCGAACGGAAATGGGTTCTGCCATTGGTGATCGGATCGATCTTCTCTTTGTTCCTCTTGTTCCTTACAGGCTTAGCTTCGTCTCCGGGAAGAACCCATTTGATTCCATTTTACCGATCGATTTCTCTGTACGGATTCGGAACCTCCGTGTTCGTCGAGTCCAGGATCAAGCCCTTGCCGGCCTCCGCCTTGCCTCAGCCGCCGCGATTCGCTTACCTCGTATCAGGCTCCGCCGGAGATGGCGAGATGCTGAAGCGGACGTTAATGGCGCTCTATCATCCGAACAACCAGTACGTCGTTCACCTCGATCGGGAATCTTCCCCCGAGGAGCGGCTGGATCTCAGCAAGTTCGTCGCGGGTAACACCTTGTTCCGAAAATTCCAGAATGTTCGGATGATCGTGAAGGCGAATTTGGTAACGTACCGTGGCCCGACAATGGTGGCAAATACGCTTCACGCGGCGGCGATTTTGCTCCGAGAAGGGGGAGAATGGGATTGGTTCATAAACCTCAGCGCCTCCGATTACCCTCTCGTCACGCAGGATGGTAAAACCCCTTTCTCATTTTCGATTTTATCCTCGGAATTGGATCATTTGAGTATTCACGGCTTGGGCTCCTTCGATTCGACCCAGATCTGTTGCACACATTCTCGTATCTGCCTCGGGACCTTAACTTCATCGATCATACGAGCAACATCGGTTGGAAAGAGT